CGCCGGTAAAGGCATTACACCGCTAGTTTATTACCGGTGGCTGCCGACGGCCACCGGCGGTGTTACGGTGGACATCCGGCGGTTTAGATCGTCGGTAGTACCGACGGCTTGAACCACCGGCGTTCGCCGGTAAGATACCGGCGGTCTACCGGCGCTTACCGGCGGTTTGAAAAACAAACGACGCCCAACTAAACCGCCGGAGAACCGTCGGTATATTGACCGCCAGTAAGCCGTCGGTCAAATAACCGGTGGCGTCACGGCCGGAAAACTGCCGGTTCAAAATCTGGTTGTAACCGGCGGTATAAGCAGCCGGAAAACCGCCGGTAAAAAACCGCCGGTACAAGTTTCCTACGCGATTTTTTCTGGCGGTCAAAAAACCGCCGTAAAGCCGCCGGTAGGCCAAAAAACCGCCGGTTAATATAGAGTAACCGCCGGAAAAAACCGCCGGATTTCGACGTTTTTCCTGTAGTGTTTGATGCATGAATATATTAAAAACATTGACGACATTGACAGGTACATTAATATCATTGATAATATTTGATGCATTAATAATATATAAACATATGTGCATATGAATAGATAAGATAGAATCTTTTAGTGATTTATGAATGATTTTTACATTATTATTTTATCGATTTATTGAATTTTATATCTATTATTGATTTTTAGATTAATTGTAATGATTCCCTACTTTTATTATTGATCATTTTGAGTTTTATTGATAATATTTGATCATTAACTATATTGACTATATTAGATTAAGTATATCATATTGATTCTTTAGTCCATGCATTGAAAGCCTTAGTGAATTTTGGATTACTATTAGGCTTTTGAGCTAATTATGTGGATTTTTAATGATTTCAGGTCAGAATGGTCAAGACTAGTTGGAGTGAGATTGTTGGAGATCATCATGTTTTCTTTAAATTTTGGTTTTATATTTTCTTTTATTCTTTTGTAGAGTGATGTCCTGACTAGTGTAAATGATATTTTGTATTAATAAATAATAAAATATCTTAATGTATATGATTTTAGTTGCTTTCACTGGTTATTGTTTATATTAATGATTTATATAAGCTCTGGTATATTCTTAAAATGATAAATAGACAATTATTCCAAATTTGATTTTGGTGAGCTATAAATTAGTATCAAAGCGCTTGTTAGAAGAATTTGATTGTAATCAGAGATATATGAATATTATTTATGTGTGGGATAGAAGTTGAGCAGTATAGATTTGACATTTTTGTATTTAAATGATTGAGTTTTATGAGTTTTAATTCGATTTGAGTATTAATTTTACAATTTTTTTATTGATTTTGTGCCTAATACTTTTTATTATTATATAAATTTTCTTGTAATGAACAGAATTGATTATTTCCTACTACATCTTAATTGTGACATTTACATAAGCAAGAAAGATTGGCTATGAATACTATAAAATAGGTTGGTTGTTAAAACATAATATCCTGCGTAGAAGGATGGACTGACTGGTTTTCCTTTATAGATGATTTGTGGTGTTATCCCGATTGTTGACTGTAATATATAAAATAGGTTGACTTCATTAAATCAATACAAAGTTATCACTCTCTACTCTTTAGCGTAATCATCGTAATGATAATTGATTAATTAAATATGATAACTAATTAATTGAATAAATAATAATTGATATGACTGATGACAAACTAGGAAACAATTGGAGTAAAAGATGTTGAAAGTACTATATTAAAGTTGGATGTCTTACCTTACTAAATCATACATTAATGTATGAATATATTACTAGCATTGATGACATTGACAGTATTTAATGCATTGATAATATATAAACAGATTATACATATGAATATATAAGATAGATTCCTTTAGTGATTTATGCATGATTTTTGCACCATTGTTTTATCGATTTATTGAATTTTATATTAATTATTGATTTTTAAATTCATTGTAATGATTCCCTATTTTTATTATTGATTATTTTGAGTTTTATTGATAATATTTACTGATATTAATTATATTAGACTGAACCTATCATATTGATTCTCTAGTCCTTGCATTGAAAGCCTTAATGACTTTTAGATTACTATTGGGCTTTTGAGCTCAATATGTGGATTTTTAATGATTTCAGGTCAGAAAATGGGTCAGGACAAGTTGAAGCGAGATTGTTAGAGATCCTCAGAATTTCTTCAAATTTTGGTTATATATATTTTTTATTCTTTTGTAGAGTGGTCTTCTAACTATTATAAATGATATTTTGGGTGAATAAATAGTAAAATATCTTGATGTATATGATTTTAGCTAATTTTACTGTTTATTATTTATATTTATGATTTATAGAAGCTCTTGTATATTATTAAATTGATAAATAGATCTTTCTTCTAAATTTGATTCTGGGGCACTACAGTGAGTCTAATAATAATTTTTAGAGTGCTATTATCAGAAGATGATCAGTTGTAAGCGATGGCAGTCAAGCAATTGTGATCGTGTAGTAGCGATTGAGTGATTTTATTTGAGTGATGATACGTTTTGGTGGTGATTCTTGATGTTGATGTCAAGCATAGCTTAGCAATTCTTTGGATTCCCACGCACTCTCTAATTCTCATTTTTTTCTTCATGTAAGGAGTGTGAGTGTACTAATAACTTTTAGAGTGATATTAATTTTAGCCAAAACTCCACAAACTTTCAATTGGATGATTTGTGTTAATTCCAAGATCATATGCCATTTCTTAAGCTTTTAGGTGCCTTAATCATGAAGGGGGATTCCTCTGGTTGACAAGCAATGTAAAATCTAACTAAAAAAAAAGAAATAATTAAACTGATTAATGTTGATTCATATGAACCAACATTTGTATGCTCCACCCTTTTATAAATTGCGAGAGGGCAAGATAAAGGAGAATTAAAGCACACTAAGGAGAGGAAAATCTAGAGGTAAAGCAGGCTAGTCGGTTCCATCATTTCTATTATGAGAGGGGAGATAGAGGGACTTGAAGCACGTGAGGAAGTCCAAGATAAGTGGGAGGAAGAAATGCGAAAGAGTGAAGAAGCACAAGAAATCATTCCATGAAGCTAGCAACACTACAAAAAATAACATTTTTTTCATCAGTTTTGAAACCGGTGCCAAAACCTCTCTTTTGCACCGGTTAAAACCCGTGGAACATTTTAACTCAATTTACGGGAGACTTTAAGCTAGCGAATCCCTAATTCAACTCTCCTTTCCGAAAGACCCTCCTTCGTGCTTGATAGCGATTCCGAAAGAGTGCCCGTGAAAGCGAATTGTCGAGCCCGTCGCAGCTCCTAAGGCGAATCCTGACTAACAGCCCTTTGTGATCACGATGAGTCTCTTCACCTTCTTCCTATGCGAAAAACTATTTTTTTAGTAGTGCAAGCAAAGCGAAGTGAGTGAGCAGGGGAGAGAGTCATGATCAAGTCATCATCAATGCCTTTGTATGACTCACTTCATTGCAACAAAACTCAAGCCATCGTCTTTTTAATTAAGTTTATTCAAATGAATGGGGCATGCTCTTTATTCTCTCAATGATTGGCTTATCGAAACATATAAAATTTTTAAACACTTCACAAAATACTCTTGGTTGTTCTCCAATTTTCTCAATATCAAAACCAGGTCAACAAACTATAGCATTTTTCTTCTAATGAACCATACATAGCAACTTTCTTATATTTTGTAAGATCCCACTAAATTATATTTAAAAAAAAAACAAAATGATTAACTGGGTATCTCAAAAATACAATATCAAATGGCCTAATCTTATGTCGATCATCATATCATTTTCTCTCTCTCACGGCCTACTCAAAATGAATTCGGTGGGTAATCAGGATGATTCCATTTCTACTTTTACCTAAATCAACTTTCTTAATGTTCAAAGAAACAACCATATATTGTGTGTTCATCCTTGAAGACAAAATATCGTGCAATGGTCTCCATTACAACTACAATCTTTTGTTGATCAACCTCATTGGAATTCACATAAATTTTCCTATGTTCGTTCAACTTTTTTCTTACAGTGTTGAGGCCACTTATCTTTCTGCAAACACGATCTTTGAGTCCAATATGAAGCACCTTTGTCTTAATTATCCTTATATTCACGAGAAATTTATCAACAGCTCTTTGATTGTCGCACATGTCTCAACTTATAATCAATTTGTTAGCATCCCTGCTAAAGTCCTCTATAATGGAAGAGTCCTTATGGGGGATATTAAGGATATATCTATTCCATTATTTCGATATTAAAAAAATAATAAAATATAACTCATCTCAATGCAACTTACTCTCATAATAGTTGCCACCAAGTAAGCACACTATACATGAAATATATTAAGGAAATATCTCCCCTAACAATACAAATTGCTCTTATATTGGTTACAACGATGTAATCACACCATTCATAAAATTCCTAACTATTAGAAGCTTAAGACTAACAATTTCGTCTCACTTTTGGTCTTGTAATTTTGTATCTAAACACATTGCAAGTTGGTATTTGAAATATATGTATGAAAATTTCATGAATATCTTCAATACTTTCTCTTAGTATAACCTTGATAGATTACACATCAATAAATCTAGCCTTCGATTCATTCATGGAAGGTGAAGGAGAAGAGCAATTAGTAGTATTCTTGAAATAATTCTTACTAAGTTCAAGTATGTTTTGTGAAACCTCTTAATAAAATAAAGCTAAACTATTAAACTTCGAGACTGCTTTTAGTGTAACGGTTGAAATTTCATTAAAAAACTCTAAATTTATACATGCACTACCTCGATAGTTAAGAGTCTGGGCCATTACAATTTATTCTTACTTATAGAATAAAATAAGATTCATTGCTAATTGGTAACGTAAAAATAAATACCCCTTAAAAAAAAATAAATGGCCCTTGTAATAAAAAAAATGTTTTAGTGTCATACACATTTCTTAAAGGTTTCTAGTATTATATATGCTAGATAAGTTATTAATTTTTTTTTAAAAAAAAGATAGAGAGTTAGAATAGTATCTTGCCTTTGTTCCAAGAAAACTCATTCAATTTGAGCTCTGGCACGCCCTTGTGTATTAAGAACGGGCCAAGCTCTTCAGCCTCTCCATAGCCAATGGAAGAACAACCAGGACCTGAAATTATAAACAACAGAGGAATTCTCTTATGTATTCAAATTTATCAAATAGAAAATTTGGTTTATTGATAAATAGCCTCACAACAAATCATTAAGGTTTCGTTTGGAACAATTTTTTTATTATTTCTTAAAGCAATTTTTTAATAATTTTTGTACTAAAAAGCTGCTTTAAGAAACAGTAAGAAAATCGTCCCAAACAAAACTAGGCGAGAATTTTCTAACAGCTAACCTGAAAGAAAAGCTAAATTAAAGTTTAAGAAACAAGGAAAGGAAAATTAACAAGAAAAGGGCAAGGAATAGGTTGTGATCATTACGTATGGAAAGCAGCTTGAGCTAAATTTAATTAAGAATGTAAGATTTTTTTTTTTAATTGCATGATAATTGAATCAAGTTATAATTTATCATATTCTTTATAGCCAAATGCTCAAGATAATTTTAAATAATTTCTTTTGTTGTCATAGTGGGATGATTTGATATATCAGCTGTCCAAAGCATTTTTTTTTTGTTTTTACATTAAAAAAATGTTTATTAGTATTTCAATATTAGGAAACCAAACCCAAGATTCTTATATAGATTAATAGTCTTCTCCTCCAATGAAAGTTCATTACGGTAATCATTACTTTCTAACAACTCAAAACTCCTAAATATTGAGATTTTGTTTGCTTTGGCCTAACAACCTCATGATTTTGTCTACTTAGTGTAACTAAACTCTTGAACATCGAGACATCTTTTATTGTAATGATTGAAATTTCATTAGAAACTCTAAAGTCATGTATGTTCGAATAGAAGCACTCGTACGATTTGTGACTTCTTGGAAAGTTACACTGAAGGGATTGTGTGGCTATTAGGTCAAAACGAACAATATTTCGATACGTTAAAATTAGGATTGTTACAATACCGGTTTAAATAAAAGCCTATTTTTAAACATCATCTAGCTTCGTTCACCATAATTTTACTTGACCATTTGAAGCTTGTGTAGGAGTTGCAAGTTCTTCTTATTTTAGCTCAATCATGATAGAAGCAACCAAAATTAATACTGACAGTTTAAGGTTTCATTTGTGACAACTTTCTAAAACAACTTTCAATTACAAAAATTTTTAGCTCAAAAAATTACTTTAGAAAGCTATAATAAAGCTATCCCAAATGAATACTAAATTAGATAAAATTATTTTATTAAAAATTGCAGATACCGAAGAAATTCTTTATCCCTCCCTATCATTTGGGATAATCCTAAAAACTCTATCTATTAAGCATTAAATGAGTTAGTAGCAAATTTGATGACAAGAACCTAATTAATAAGCTTGACCTTTTCACTCCCTCTACTTCTATCCTTGTTGAGTTTATGGTCCCCCATAGCAACTGGTAGCTCTTCCATCTTTGGAAGAGGATAGGCTAATAATGAAAGAAGAGTAGTTTGCTCCTCTTTCCAGATGAAGATGGATGCTTAGCTGGCTGCGACAATAGCTTTCTTCCCATGCTGAATTTCCATGTTCTTTGCTTTCAACTTAGCTAATGGATTCTTTGTGGCCACCGCTTCTCCTTAATTTTATCGGTTATCGTCAAGCCACAATAGCTTTCTTCCCATGCTGAATTTTATGCTTCTTAAAGTAGCTTCCTAATACAAAAAAATTTTAATTTTTATATTAAGAAGCTGCATTAAGAAGCAATAAGAAAGCTATTCCAAACGAAGCCTGACGGCTTTCTTACTACTTCTTGAAGTACTTGTTTAGTAAAAAAATAAAAATTTTGTACTAAAAAGTTGCTTTAAGAAGCAGTAAAAAAGTCGTCCCAAATGAAAACTAAATTTGACAAACTACTCAAATTTAAATTCAATTCAATGTGTTTTGAGTTGGCTTAATTCATAAAAGCCGTCCCGTCCCAAACGAAGCCGTCCCCTTTGCTTGGTATCGCGGCTCGGTGCTGCCACGGTTTGATACCGCTGACGTGATGTATTCTATTTGATCTATGTAGAACGTTCTACATTCGATCTCCGCATAGAATAATTTCTCCTCTAACCGTCTAACAAATTAAAAAAAAAATGAAAATGTAAGAAGAATGAGACCAGCATCACCTCAGCAGCGGTTCCCCTTCAAACTTTACTTCAAAAAATTTCCTGAGTCAAGTTTTTACCGTTCATATTTCTAGATCAACACCTCTCACCATCACCTTTAAGAAAATGACAAAACAAAAATAATTTGATCTTTAGTCATATTTCTCTTCTTAATCATTCAGCTCTCACATATGACATCGCATGGTGGGGATGTGAGTACATTAGTTAGACACAGCCAAAAACATTACTCAATGCGTATTGACCTTTTTTCTCTTTATTTAATTTTCATGTCCGCATACACAGTTGCAAATACAGCTTGTCCATTCGTTATATACCTAGAGTGAGAGTACAATTTAGAGCTCGTTTGGGATATGATGACCGTAACGTTTTATAAAGTTGATTGTAGAAATGTCAAAGCTGTCGTAAAAAAAAGCAGCTTCCTAGAACATAAGTTTCATGGGAACGGAAAAAAAATTATGATTATAATATGAAAAGGAGAGTAGGAAAAAAGTTATCCTAAATAAAATATTAATTATTAAAAAAATTTAAAATTATTAAAAAAGTGTTCAAATTGGAATTCAGCAGCTTTCAAAGAAGTGTGGTGATGGAGTCTAATGGTCAATTAGGAAGCTTTGCGTGATTTGTAGACATAACTGTGGGAATCCCAAAAGAGATAGATAGAGCAGGCAAAGCGGAGGGAGCTGACCAAACTTAAATTTTTTTGTTCCAAGCCTTCACAAGAATCAAATAAAAATATTGCTTAAAACAAAAAAGAAAAAAATCTATGAATTAAAACTCATGAATTCTACTGCTACAATAATCTCACATACCTCCATTAAGCCAAAGCAGGAGAGGCTTCGTAGAGGATTCATCCTGCGCCTCAAAGAACCAGTAGAAAAGAGCCCTTCCATGGCTCTCCTCAACCGTTATATAACCAGAGTATTGCCGGAACTTCACCGGCGGCTGGCCGGGGAGTTCTGCCACACGATCAGCTTCTTGCTGAGCTATGACTTCTTGGTCTAGCTCAATAGAATTGGCGGTGAAGAAGAAGTGGAGAATACAGATTGAGGCAAGGAATATCTTATCCATTTGATGAAAACAATAGCCTATGAGAGTTAATCAAGATCTGCCTCTAATATAAGCACTGCGCGAACTAGAGGAGATAGAGAGAAGGAAGAGAAAGCCCAGAGCCTTTAATAGCTTGCTTGTATTGGTCTATAGCTTGTATGGATGGACTGGCAGAGAATTCAAAGCTCTTTTCCTTTTAAAAAGTTTTCTTCTTTTTGTGGATGAGATACACTGGCTGACTATGTTTTCTATTTATATATTAAATATAGAGCGAGAGGAGAATATATATTGGCGCATAATATAACGCTGAATTTGGGAAAAAATAATGATGTAAATAGCAGAAACGTAATTGTGGGAGTAATGGAGGGAGTAAATAGCAGAAATGTACAAAATTTGAGGCTGTGGCAGCGAACTCCGAAATTTCAATGTGATGAGAGAACTGTAAGGATAAATGCAGCAGAAATTCCACGCAAATTTTGGAATCATCAAAAGAAATTTTTTATTTATGTAAGAAAAAGAAGTATTTGAGAAGCAATACTGTGAAGTTCGAGCTCCAAAACTGAAAAATTGATTATTTTGAAGAATTAAAAAAATGGCCACTTATAATTTCTAATTTAATATCTTTGACATAATCCTTTTGTTTTGGGGATTGTCTTTGTACCACATAAGACTTGTTTTTCAGTTTTAATGAAAGTACATTGTACTTTAATTGTAAGTTTTTGTATGAATGAATTTTGTTACTTTTCTCTATTCATCATGAATCTTTCTTGAAACAAAATGTTGAGCACACAAGCTTTCCAATTGGCTAAGATTGTTATCTCCTAGATCGAACCGATCCAATTATTTCATGTAAATGAATCAAGCGGCAACCTTCCAAAATGGAACCGATCTTATTTGGGTCAACCTGAACCTAAACCATTTTTGCAAATTGGTCAACTTTTAGAACCCGGCCAGCTTCGGGTTTGGATCAACCCAACACGACCCAAATGACCCAGGGCAGATAAAAAATTGCTAGTTTTCAGGTAAAAAAAGGGTCAATCACCGATTTTCGGGTAAAAAACAGGTTAATCTCGGGGCAATTTCGAGTTTCTAGGTCAATATGAACTCGGCCCTATTTTTGAAATAGTTCGATTTGTTGAACCCGAACCCGAGCCATTTCTGGTCCGGGTTGATCCTAACCAAGATTTTTTGGGTCGGGTTCGTGTTGGATTTTCGGGTTGTATCAATTATTGACACCCTAACCTTGATATTTGTGTCAAATTCACCGGATGAATTCTGTTGGGCAAGATTCAATTGATTTTGGGTATTATCAATGTTCCAAACGCAAATCCGAAGTCCGTTTTGAGATCGGAGGTTGTTTGGGTGACGTCACGCCGTTATTTTCTCGATTTACGTGTTGTTGCCTCGGTATCCGCACTGATCCCCTCGTGCGAATTCAATTGAACAAATTTATTGTCATCTTCGACTATTGATGACACTCAGGACGCAACAGCAAAGTTCGTTTCACGATCAGACATCATCTAGGTAGCTTCATGTGTCAACTTCAGGTGTTGGTTGTCCGTTTTGATTGATCATGTTTGATTTGATTGAGATGAGTTCTCTCTTTGGCAAATTCGACACTCTGATCACAACGATGAAGTCTATTTGGCGATCGGGTGTCATTTGGCCCTTTAAGTGGCCCGCCGACTCAACACGACATTTAATTTGCAAGTCTTATTTCTTTTCCCGTGTTTTGACATGTAGGTATTAGCAATTAAATGTGCTTGAGCTCGATCTCAGTCTTTCTCGACTCGTAAGCTCCTTATGCCGCTTCCCATTAACTTAAAATATATTTAAAAATTAATTTAAATTAACATTATATAATATATTTTAATAATTTTAAACTAACTTTATATTAAATATAAAAATATAAAAATGAATAATTTAATTTAAAACTAAAAAAATCAAACTCAACAATCAAGTCAAGCTCGAAATTTTCAAACATACTCCAGCCTAAAAAATTTTAACGATCTAAGCTCAAGTTTAGTAAATGAGCTAGAACCGAACTCGAGCTTGAGCTCAATATGAATTAAACAAATTTAACTCGATTAGACAGATACTTGACTCGTTCACATCCCTAGGCTCTAATCTTTTGATTCCCCCCTCGTTTCATGTTAAGACAGGCTATTCGACCGATTTAGTTTTTGGAGTTCAATGGTTAGAGTTGTTTGGTCCATGCGTTAAAAGAGTTCCGCCCCTGGAAACAAGAGTGATTCAAGAAAGTAAGAGCTTATTCAACAAAGATGTAGATTTTATGTTGATTACAGAGCTTTAAATCGAGCCATGATTTTGGATTAATACCATATGCCATTGGTAGATGAATTACATGGTGCCAATTTTTTTTTTTCAAAATTGGATCTTACACCACCTTATTTGTTGTGGATGGGGAAACACATGAGGGTTATTATGAGTTCGTAGAAATGCCATTAAGGTTATCAAATGCCTTAAGACAATATTTCATGATGAATCCTATTATTCGACCATTTTTATGGAGATTTGTGTTGATATTTTTTATGTTCTTAGATTCTTACTATAGTGGTTCGTTAAAAGATCATAATCAACTTCTACCAAAGGTTTTAGCACTGTTGTAAACACATGCATTATTTTTCAATCATAAAGGATCAAATAGCTCATTTGGTACGTAGTTTGTCTTGATCTATTGGTTGGGAGTTTTGATTATCAATTAAAAGATCTCGAATTTGAGTCTCTCTTATGTAACCGAGCTCCTACTTCTTTGGAATAATTGAGAAGTTTTTTGGGTTTGACAAATTGTTACTGGAAACGTGTTCAGCACTATCCAAGCAATATGGCACTTTTGACAAATTTTCTATCCCAAGAGAAATTGCAGTGTGCAGTGGACAGTGGGCAGTGGATAGAAGAAAAGCCCAATCGGCCTTTGAAGATTTTAAAAAGTAGTGATTGCTTTACCAGTTTTGGCATCTCCGGATCTTTCACTTTCCTTTATAGTGGAGATTTGACTGCAAATCGACGGTGACTGCAAAGCTCAAAATTACAATTTCTTATAAAATTGCCAAATGGAAGAACTGCCACTTTTTCCTTCAATTGCTCGTTTGAGTTTAGTGCCATGGGATGCACTGGTTCTGTATTTATGCAATTCAACTTTGCTCTTGATGCATTGTCTTTGTTGGGCTATCTTCGCTACAGACTTCTTGCGGCAACCAGGGGTTCTTCTATGTGCCTGTCGCGTGATGATTTTTTGGATGGACCATGATGAATGCTGGTTCTCACCAGCTACTCCTTGGATGGTTTGGCCGGGCAACCAGGAGTTGCTAGCCTCTAGACTGAAGATTTTGCTTGTTGGACATTTTGCCTTGCATTCTGTATCTTTTATGATGTTCTAGTTCTTCTTTTTTCTTTGCTCTGTTGCAACCTCTATTGGCCTCATCATTTTTAGTTTTTGAAATGTTGATGCTCTGTTTTTCCTGTTAGCATCTCGCGGGTTCTTCCTCTTTATACCTTATGTGATTTTGCTTTTATACGAATGATATGGGTTTTGCCTCCAATTTTCCCAAAAAAAAAAGAGATAAGATGCTTCGGGCATAGCAATACATGCATTTTTTTTTTGGAAAATTGGGGACAAAGCCCATTTCATTAACTATAAAAACAAAATTATAGAAATTGTAGAGTTGTTACAAAAAATTGTGTTTGTAAAGAAAACACAAAGATAATTAAGACAAAAAGGCCAAACTAAATAAGCAAAGGGGCAATGGGATAGGACTCAGAATGGAATACAGACATTTTTATATCAACAACACCATCCGCTTGCTTATTTTAGTAAGAAGCTTTCACCACTAATGCATAAAGCGTCCACATATGCTCTAAAATTGTTTGCAATCACTAAGGAAGTTAGTTATTGGCGTCAATATTCGTTAGGCAACAAATTCATGATTTGTACTGATTAAAGGAAAGTGTTCTAGAATTGATAAACAAATTATGCGAACTTCAAAACAGGCAAAGATTTCTTGTCAAATTATCAAAGATTTCTCTGGTGAAACTGTTTTTTACGATCATAATAATGAAGTTATTTTCTCCACAGTAATTTCACAATCAAATTTATAAAATGTTGTAGCCTCCCCAAATAAAGTCTTAGGTTTCGTTTGGGACGACTTTCTTATTACTTCTTAAAGTAGCTTTTTAATACAAATTTTTTAATTTTTATACTAGATAGTTGCTTTAAGAAGTAGTAAGAAAGCCGTCTCAAACAAAGCCTTAGTTGGTAAACGATATTATAAGCAATCCTTATAAGTTGTCTGATTGTGGCATTTAAGAAAGCATAATATTACTTTAAACAGAGATTTATTTTGGCTGCCAGTTCACCACTTCGCTAAACAATCATGAAAGAATTGCATTGCACTCCCGCCTGTCGGCAAGCGAAAAATGATAGTCAAAAGCTCAAGAGTTTTTTTATAACTATAAGCCATTCCTACTGTGATTTAGGAGGAAGTGGCAATGAACTTTATTATAGGATTACCAAAGTCTAAAGGAAATATGATAATTCTTGTGGTTGTGCATTGATTGTCAAAATACACTCATTTTTTGCTCTTCACAATACTTTTGCAGCAATTGCAATGGCCGCAACATTCGCATATTATCTTTGCAGGCTGCATGGAATTTTATAAGTGATTGTTGCTGATCGATATCCTTTTTTATGAGTGAATTTGACAAGAACTGTTTCATTTTAGCTACACAACTTTTAAGTCATAGCAGTGCAGATTGCAGAAGCTACCAATAGAGGGTTAAAATAATATTTGTGAAGCTTTCTGATGGAAACACCAAATCTGTGGCTGAATTTTCATCCAATACATTGAAATTTACAGCAACCAAAATCACACCTTTTTTATGGGAGGCAACTGTTGAACTCGATGGACTGATCTTCACCTGATAGGCCGATTAGTGTAACAAGGAGAGGATGAACAATAAGTAGAGGAAGTAGAAAGTAATTCATTTGTATTGAGTTTTACTGTAGCACAATCATGTGTATATATACACAGGTGCAAGTAGAAGATACAATGACTAAAGTATCCTAGGTAGTTATATAAAGTAGAAAAGTTACTGGATTGCAGTGAAGTGGCGGAAGGCTCTGACGAGCGGCATATCAGAGATTCAGTTGGAGTGTAATTGTAGTGGAGCTGAAATACTCTTATCACCGTCCCTCAAG